GTTGCTTATTTAGTCATTGCCGCAACGGAAAGATCACCACATGGGTAACATAAGACTCTGAAAGCACCAGTGGGAATCAATTTATAGTAACACCAGTTAATAGATTTCATTGGAAACCTATTTTATTTATATTCAACATTGGTGAAGTTATGAAGAAACCTTATAATTATTAAGTATTGTTAAAAATATATTATTACAGAAAAAAATAAAACCTAATGTCAATGTTGAGAGGTGGGAAAATGTTTATTTTACCACTTCTCTCTTTTTAAAAGGCTAAATAAAAGTGTTTTTCATCGAAATTTTAATAATTGAATATTTCCTGAAAGCAAAGTTAAAAGATGTTAATATTTTCTAAATTTTTTTAATTTTCTTAAAAAACGCTTGGGATACTACATAGTTTACTTCCTCTACGACAGTGTCTGTCCTCATTACAAAATCGATGCGGTAAAATTTATTGAAGTTTGTCTGGGAAGTGTTTCCTGATTCGGCCTACTCGCTCGGCTAACAAAATTGTTATTTATTCTGATCACAAATATTTTTCGATCATGATGTAGAGAAATTTTATTGGATAAGATGATATGAAATATTAAATAACTTTTCTTTGATAAATGGTTAAGTTTTCGGATGCGGAATAATTTTTTTCATTTTTTGAAAAATGGGCTCAGAAGTGAAATTCGTTATTAGTGAAATTAAAACATTTTTTTTTTTTACAAATTTGGCATTGGCTTATTATAAAAGTTATAAACTGATAATAAGTTTAAATCACAATCATCTAAATCTGAGTTTTCATCAATCAACCACCAGAATCTACGCCAGAATCCAGCACCAGTAACAGCACCTCCTCAGCCAATTCCTACTGAACTTACATATCGTGTACAGCATCAGCTCCAAAGTCAACTCGCTAGCTAGCAGTCCACAATAACATACTTCAGTTGTTCAAAACAACTTTCAATAGTAACTCCGGCTTTTCAAAATGAAATTCAAAAAGAAGTCAATAAACACTTATAACCAGCCCAATTGCTTACCGCTGATTTGCAACAATTGTTTCGCTTCCGATACGTTGAAAACGAAAGAAAACGAAAAAATGTTGACGCAAGAAAACGAAAAAATGTTGACTTGCTAAGATTCAAAATGTTCTTAATAAACTTGAAATATTCAAGAAATTGAAAGATACTGACAAAAACAAAGCACTAGCTAGAAAATAACGTAATCATAACTTTAATGATAAGCAGCAAATAAATCAAGCAATGACTGTGACGCCACCAATAGAATCGACTCCAACAACAACAACAGCAACAAGTCATGTAAATCATAAACCGCTGACTTTTTTACAGATTTCATTTTAAAAAAAAACTAATTCCAAAATAAATAATTTTTACCAAAAGTAAGAAAAATTTTTCTCTTTCTCAAGAAATAGAGCAGCCGTGAGAGAGATTAGAGCAGCCGTGGCGCAGTGGTTAGAGTTTTGGCTCAGAATCCAGAGGTCCTAGGTTCGATGCCAGCTCTAGCCCAACAAGCGACATTGGTACGGAAGGAGGCGTGAACTTCCTGTTAAATGCTCACCCGCGGTGCTCTATGATAAGACCGTAAGGACTTCTGGGAGCACCTAAATACATATCAAAAAAAAAAAGAAATGTTTTGATGTTTAGGAAAGAAACTCAAAAAACGTTTCTATTATTATTCTAATATTTAACTAACGTCTTAATAATGAATAAAGCTAGGAATAATTTCATTGTTAAATACCGAAATTTTTATTTACACATAGAATAAATTATAGAGTAAAATTATTCAGTTTATTATAACACAAAGGTTTTTTTCGTAAAAATGATTTAACGTCGCGAAACATATATCGGTTTAAAAGCGGACAATTGATTGGAACCTAATAATTTTTCCTCATATCGGTTAAGTGTGGCATTTTCTGGGTACGCATTGTAGATATTTCCTGGGTATAGATTTTCGCTCATAGGAGTTAATGTTTTTTGTTTACACGTGCATGAGTGAATATTGCAGTCGCCTTGTGTTTGATATTGGATATTAAGTTCTTTTGCAACTCGTTGTTGTAAGTTTGTATGAGTTTTTAAATGTTTAAACAAATCCTCTGATGAAGAAAAACAACACCCGCATTGTTTATTTTCTGACACCCAGTTACATGTGTACTGTTTATTATTTTCATATTGAAATGTTGAAGTTTTACCCGAAGAAAATTGCCTTAAAGTTGAGCATTTGGATTTTAAAGGTGTCGTTTTATTTGGATTAAAGCACGTCATACAAATAGGATCACGGCAGACGGACGTCAGGTCGAATTTATTATTCTGTTTCTGTATGCAAATCGAACAATGACAAAATTCTGATCCTTGCTTAGTTAAAGGTAAAGGATCACTGTGAGGTCGGATACTATAAGGGTGGTTGTTGTGTGGTTGATTATTGATATGATGAAAGTTTTTTACAAAGTCATTATTAAGCAAGTGTAATGAACTAGCTGGTCTATTATGCTGATTTTCAAAAGCATGTTTCTCATGTGCAGTTGTTGATGAAAGCGATGAAAAGTTTGTAGAAAAATAGGGTCGATAAAAAAAATCTTTTTTACTTTCCTCGGAAATAATATCACATGACTTTAAATGTTTATTAATTGGGTTGCGTTCGAATTGTGAGCTATCAATGCTGTATGGTTTAAATGGTGCGCTCATCTTTTTTTTCATTTTTGGTTGAAAAGACGACTCGTAAGTGTTGTTAAATGAAGCTAAGTTGCCAGTCAGTTTTTGAGCAATATTACATGGAAGCACAGATTTACGATGGATTTCGTGATACTCTTCTTTTAATTCTTTCTCGTTTTTGCCAATACTGCTACAGGTAGCTGCTAATAACACAAGCGGTGAAATCGGCGGAGCGCTAATCTAAAGCAAATAAGTATGGACAAATTAGTTTTATCATCAAAATATTGTGATTTAATTAAAAAACTTTAAAAAATATATTAGATTATTTTACAAAAATTTAAATACTATAGTAAATAATAAATATTGTAATAGTAACATATAATTATATATTAATTTAATATTCAAATCGTTTATTTGAAATTCGCAAGACTTTTACTGAAAACACTTATTCAAAGCGAGTTAGCTTTATATATGCTATTAGCACCTTTGTACTTAAACCGTTGGAAGGTAGCGGCAAGCTTTTGCAACAACTTAGGTAAGTTTTTTAATGTAAATAATTATTCTAATAAGGTGAGTTCAGATTATAAATAGATTTAAACCTTTCATTCGTCAGAAATCTTAAATTTCCTACGTGAACCTTAGGACGTAACCATTATCTAAATCCATATAACTTGCAGCAGATAAAATTTTTTGTGCACTATACAAAGAGCTTTTTCATTAATAAAAAATCGCCATTTTTATTTCATAATATTGATAATACTGGACGTAATTTAATAATTATAAAATTTTTAAAAATGTTTTTGTTTTAGGTTCCCCAAGAAGCCCTAACCGTGTTGCCACAAACCACTGCGGAAGAGTGTTTTACTAGAAAGTTCACGTCTCCTTTTTTTCTTGGCGAAATATGCCCAGAACTCTGGATCTTTTGCGTCTAAAGTAAGTGATGTAATCACTGCACCACGTGATCACTGCACCACGGCTGTATGAAAATGAAAAGCATGCGTTTTTAGTTGTTAAAAAAAAATTTTATATGTCTGAAACTAAACATATAAAAGTTGAACATTTACTACTAGCTTTACTACATAACATGTGATTGTGCCAATAATACTTGCGCAATAACATTTTTTCGTCCCATTAATACTTGCGCAATAACATGTGTTCGCCCTATTAATACTTGCGCAATAATACTTTAAAATTTTTCGCAACTTGAAACATTTATTTATTGAAGTTTTAACATTATCTAAGGCAAATATCTTTATGTTTCCTTCAGGAAATGATTCATGCAATCTTATAAACTATCTAATAGTAATCGGAATTTGCCTGGGATTGCTACCGTAGAGTAATAACCATGTAATGGTTTCTAATGAACAATATGATGGTGATTACAATATTTGTTTTTGTATATATATATATATATATATATATATATATATATATATATATATATATATCATATATATATATATATATATATATATATATATATATATATATATATATATATATATATATATATATATATTAAATTGATCTCAGAATAGATTGTTAAAATTATTAAATAAATTTTTGTTAAATTGACCTGAGAATAGATCGTTAGGGGGTACTAAAAAAAAAGCTACCATTTAGTTCATGGAAAATTTTATCGTTCTTTTGTTATGTTAAAATATTTGAACTTTGTTGAAATACTCTTTTGAATATTAATCTTTTTTTATATTTCTGTTGGAAGTTTGTAATTAATTTTATGGCTTCTACTATGTTTTATTTTCATAATTAATACCCTTTTTATACAGTTTTAATAGATATCTTTTACCAAAGTTTTGAAAATAAAAAATTATTTTTTTCATATAACTTACTTCCAAACAGTCTTGAAGTTTTTTTTTTTATTATTTACTTTGAAGCCTTTTACATCATTAAATTATATTACATTTTTTACATATTGTTCAATAAATTTTATTTTTAATTACATCACATATGTGTAATGTAATTAAAAAAGTAAAGTTAGATACCTTACTTTTATACTATAACACACTATACTTTATACTATAACAACACTATACTTAGTATAGTGTTGGTATTTGGCTATATATGTGTTTGTACATATGTATGTATGAGTATCTGTATTTAAGGGGTAAAATAATAGACTTTGATAGATAATTCTTTTTTTCGAAATTTTTTTGAACTTTTTTTTGAATGGCAATTTTTCTTCTTTTTGCCATTTTTACAGACTTTTGATACAAATTTTATAAATCTTATCTTTAAGACAGCTAAATTTATTGAGGTGAAAAAGTTCTGATTACAAATCAAGAATAATGATAAATCAAGATACAAAATTAAGATATAAAACACATATACATACATTTGAGTGATAATCCATTTGCAGGTATGAAGGATGATAAAGCTTCTCTTTAGCAAAGTTCATTCTGTCTACCTGTTGTTGCAAAGAGATGGTTGAGATAGCCATAATATTTTTTTTTTGTTAAGATAGTTTTGCTTTTACAAATTGACATCAAATATACCGCATTAGACGTCGAAACGTTTAACATACGCCAATTTTACAGCATGTCAATTACTATAAGTCTTATCTTTACCGACAGCCAATCATTTTCATATCTTCTTAAAAGACGCTAATATGATTGGTTTATTAAAAATATTATCTTGTTATTAACAGTGATTAGTAAATGCTTGTGATACTATACACCCTAAAGAGTAGTAGAAAGGCGGGATATAATTAAATTTTACGTCGCCATTGCTCCTGCTGTAGACATGACGTAAAACAGTTTTTAAAACTGTACAACTATAAAAGCATACTTGAAGGGTTGTCATAACCTCAAGTAGGACGCTTAAGTCAGAGATCGTGTTACCTCATAAACTGAATGTAACTTTTAGCCAACAAAGGAAATAAGTAAATAACGATTAAGATTTATACGTCCAAATTTAAAGAATTAGAAAGATTAGATTTTAGATTGAGATGAATAGTTGTGTTTGCTTTTGTACATTGCAGTTAGATACAATTAAAAAAAAAAACGACATATTTAACTAGCTAACACTCAAACTAAGCTACCGTTTGTTGTAAATAGCTAGTAAATGTTTATTTTATTTTAAGGGTGATTTTTTTTGTTTGTTTTTTTAAATTTTAAATCCCATGTTGATTTTTTTTTTTAATATGTAGAAGTTAACTATTTTTTTTAATACTTTCTTCTACATTTTCTTTGTCATAAAACTTTATTTAAAGTCGCCATTAAAAACATGAGCACACATGCTACTGTCAATTGATTGCTACAGTAAAAATGAATATAAAGAAGGACTTCTACTTTATTAAAGGACTTCTATAATTGAACAATAACAACAACAAATTTAAAAAAGGGTTTCAAAAAAAGAAAAAACAAACAAAAGCAGTAACAATTTGTCTTCAGACACAACAACAACTAAAACAATTAGAGAGATTTCAAATGTGTCAAAAGATAGCCGGATATAATTGCTATTTGATCTTATACATGATAAGACAAAAAACACTAAATATATACTATTGAATAGATCATAATTATGGAGAAATAAAAAATATTAAAGAGATTCCTTTAAATATTATGATGCTAAATAACTTCTGCAAATTTATTTTCAAATTATAGTATCTCAATGTAAATGTAGACACTTGTTAAGCCGAGTTCTTGAAGGCGTCTTCGGTGTCTTAGAAGAGGTTAATATTTTGACTTTCCTGTCAGTTTGAAGTTGATGCTCAAATTTAAAGTTATTTAGATATCACTCGATCTTTCAATCTAAACGTCTGCGCTTACAAAAATTATTTAGATATCGTTCAGTTTTTGTTTTTTTTTTACCATCGCATTTGCGAGTATTAAAATAAAAAATTAACGCTAATATTACATTTAATAGTAATAGTTTATATAACCTATATAATTACAAGAGTAATTTTTTAGGTAATATATTTTGTTTACTATTTATCGAATTGACTTCAAAAAGCTTCATTCCATCAATAAAGTCATTACGTCAACAATAAAACAGAACACTCGAGAATCTTGTGTCGATCCGTAAAATAGCATTAAATATTGAAGCAAAAAGTTGAAAATGCTTTGATTAAGCAAAAATTGGATTTTAATCTAAGTTTCGAAACATTGCGATTCACGCGTATTTTTTTAAATATGCACACATCTTAACAACGCAAAGTATTTTACGAAAAAACCTTTTTGAGTTGACTTCAATTAGGCTAATATAGAGTTATTACTTGTATGAGTACAAGTAATACTCTATGTGTAAATAGCACATGTGTCAACTTAAAATAAATAACAAATTGTAGTCAAATTCTTTATTACAGATAATAATAGTTTGGTAATACTACTTTTAGTAGTAAAGGTAAAAAGATGCTTTGCAGAGCCTAGTCATATTTAATGTTTTTTAGCATATACTTCTGTTTTGATAATAAACACAACTTTGCTTGCCTGATTTTAAAAATAAGGCTAAAAGATAGTACGGTTTGTTAGACAATTTCATATGTTCCAAAAATCTAAATATTTTGCTATTTGTTAACCGTCCCCTACTACTAAAATGTAAAAGAATCAAAATGTTAAAATGTACTAAAATTATTCTAACTCAAAAAGAATATTTGTCATTGTTGTTGCTAATAAATAAAAACTGTGTTTTTTTATAATGTTGGAAATTTCTGTTTTTGCTAATTGTAAAAGATCTTAGAGAAAAAGCGACTCTTAAAGCAAACACCATACCACCCGTTGGAGTTCAGTTGTTATCAAAAAAATGCCGCTCATTGAATTTTCTCTCAAGTATCTACCGCACACTGAAATTAAAAAAATCTGTTTACAATGTTTCATTATAATTAAAATTATAAAACAAGTTCGGGAAAGCTTTTGTGGGATTATAATTTTTATATTCTTTTTTTATAGACTTCTTTATCTTAATGATTTTTAAACATTATTATTATTGTTTATTTATATATATATATATATATATATATATATATATATATATATATATATATATATATATATATATATATATATGATATATATATATATATATATATATATATATATATATATATATATATATATATATATATATATATATATATATATATATATATATATATATATATACATATATATATATATATATAGATAGATAGATAGAAAATAGTAAATATTTAACTTTTTTTAGCAAATAATTTGTACAATGAATTAGTTTTTAAGGTCAACTTTTGGGTGACAACAAGTTGACTAATTTTAAGTATTTGATTGACAAAGACGCTAGTAGTTAAGTATTGAAAAACACGTTTTTTTCTCAAAACTTGTCAATCATACGTGATTGGATTAAATGAAATGCCATCCTATTTTTTTTACTTTTACACGAACAAAAAACTTTTTTTTTATATATCTTTTTTGAGCAAAACGTTTTTTTCACAATTTTTTACAATTTTTTCTTTTGTTTAAAAAAAGTTATAAGTATTCACAGCTTTTTTTTGCGCGCGAAAACATAAAACTTACGTTAAACCATTTTTATTTTAACCTACGTTAAAATAAAAAAGGTTTTCAACCAGACTTGACACTTGAATTAAAACTTAATACGTTTTGCACTTAAAAACAGCAACCATGCATTACAAACATCGACCATGTGAACTGATTTAGTTTTTTGGCTTTAAGTAGAATCAAGAAGCTAATATAATGAAAAAAATTGAGAGCTGTTCCATTACAATTGTAACACTTTGTCACCAGTACACTTTCATATGTTTAATACTCGTTTAAAAAATCAAAATTAAAGTGATTAAATAAGTAAAATGATTAAAAAAATTCAGTATCAAAAAAATCATTTTTTCATTTGTAATTAGTTTAATATCAGATTCTTTGTTTCAGTAATTATACATTAATTGTAATTTCAAATCTGTTATTTCACAATCTGCAATTTTTGTAATTTTAAACTCTTCTGATTTCATTTTCGCTTTTCAAAATAAAAGACTTTGTGTAAAAGTGTGATAAAGTTACGATCTTTTTTTAAAATTTACAATCTAATTAAACAATATTTCAATTTTTATATAATCATTTAAAAAATAAATAACATCGTAAACATAAAAACCTTGGTAAAAACTTGTTATATATAAAGACTCCAAGAAGGTAAGGATTACAACCTTTTCATACCGTTTCAAACATTAAAAAAACTTTAACTTTTAAAAAAAATAAAAGTTCAATAAAACAAAGCTCTTTTTTTTTTCTAGTATGAAAAATTGAAAGAAAAAAAAATTAAAACAAATAAGGAAAAAAAATAAGAAAAAAAATTCAAAAATCTGAAAACAAATACTGTAAACTATACTATATGTGTCAGGAATTAAGAAGATGCATTTTAGTTTGCCGTTTAAACGATGAAATGCTTTTTCAGCTCTTTAATATTTTTATTTTGGAAACGATTCCATATTGATGGACCACAGTTTGTAATTAAAAAACTTGACTGCTGTGATTTAATTTTCCCTAGATGATAGTTTTGGTATTATAACGCAGATTATGTTTTTCAGAAAATGATACCAAGAAAATATCTGAAAAATGTACGTAGTAGTACGCAGTAGATTGTAATGTGTTAGGTTTCTCAATATCTACAACATGCGTTTCATCACTGGGCCAGGTTTACTAACCTATTTAAATAATGAATTGCTTTGCATGCATGGTTTTGCTTTGTCTTCAACGTTCAACTTTTTTTTAGAAATCTTTTTTGCAATGCGTGTTTATTTTACGATACTTTAAGAAAATTAGAAGAAAGTTTCTGAAAGTTGGGTGCAAAAAATGCATTGTGAGCCATTTTAATCAAACCACGTGCCTAGATATACACGATTTTTTATATGTCATATTTATGACTTTATGTTTTTATCGTTATTATAAATTATTTATTTAATGAATTAGGTTATAATTCATTATAATAAAACAAATTTATTGAAAAAAATTATTGTTTATTGACTCACAGTTTTGCAAAAACTAGTGATAATCAAAGCGTCTTTTATCTTGCCCTGTTTTCTCCCTTATAATATTAGAAATAACCGTTTAAATATGCTTTTATTAATGAAGGAAATTTTTATGACTTTTTTTTCTTGATGGATTTTGATTATAGTTTATATAAACTAAAATAATTAAATAAATTAATTATGTTATTACTTTATGCAAGCACAATATTAAGAAAGATGTTAAACGTATCAAAACTTTATGTCAAAAAATTATTAGAATTTAGTATCCTTATTGAAGTAAACAGTTCATATGTTTTACATATTTTAAGTCAGTTTCTTAATTGGCACAGCTAGCAAATAAAACTTATGTAAAAAAAAAATAAAAGATAAAATAAAAATAATTGAATCAGAATAACTTGATATAAGTAACATCAAATATCAGTAACATTAAAATCATTATTAGTCAAAATTGAAGTTTCGAATAGAAATCGAGTAATTTGTGATTTATGATAATGTTGAGTATGTAGCATCAACAAAGTTCTCTGCACCTTGCAGAACCAAATTGAAGTTCAATTTCAGCTATATGAACAAGTTTATGAATTTTTTTGAAAAAAATTCAAAGCTTACCAAAAACTCTTGAAAAGTTTTTGAAAAAAACTTTTACCATTAAAGCGGCTTTTCTGACAGTTTTACGCGTAGGTTTTAAAGTTTGTAAAATTTCTTAAACTGAAGACACTCAACTAGTTAACTTCTTAAGCTTAAAGGGCTAAGAAAAATTATGAACACTTCAGTAATACTGTAGGTCTTTTTTTAATTCTTTTTGACACCAGTGCATTTACATTGCATGCTGGGCATAATCAAATCAATTATTTTTATAGAGGTTACAAACCATGGTTCATATCATCTAAGAAACTTGCAGAGAAAATCAATTCATTACAAGTGGGCTCTCTAATGCTAGTCTCCAACCAGCAAACAAAGAACGTCTAAAAGACGTATTTTTTCACCAAGTAATCATGTGACGTCTAAATGACTTCATATGTTTGATGGGTGATGCTTTTCAAATATAAGCTTCTAGTCAAAAACTCTGTAAAATAGTTTGAGGTTTGCATTAAATTGAAAATATAGTTGAACTAAAATTTTACTTAATAATGGCGTCACAAACTTTTTTTTGCATATCTAATGTCGTTATAAGTTAGTCAGTCAAACATTTTTTAATTCATTCGTTTGGTTTTAAATATCCGTGAATAATTTTTCTTACGCAAGAACGAAATTGAGTTAGTTCTTAAAAATATATAATCATCGTTATTTTAACCCACTTAATCGTGCTTAACTTTTTCACGTCTCTTTGTCATTTATATTGACATGTATAAAGTCACGATGACAGGCTCCATTTTCGGAAGTTGTAATGTCATTTTATTTAATCTGTTTTAATACGTGTAACGATTTTATATTCGGTATATAAATAACTCGCCTAAATAAATAATCTTTCATTTAATTCAATATGCAATTAAATACTTTAGTCGATAATTATATAAAATTAAAAATTAGTTAATTATGTTTTATTAACTTAAAGCTAATTTATTTATTCATTCTGCTCAGGACCTTTAAAAAATAAAAGTAAAAAATGTACTAAGTTATAAAATTCAAATAACTTTATTTGACAGATAACTAATAAACTCATAATCTTGAAATCAATTGTACTCATTGCTTGATTGATTATTATTGGATGATTATGTTTTGTGTAAACTAGAATATAAGTTTTTTTTTTAAATAATATAATGAAAGTTTTCCAAAACAATCTTAATATTTGAAAGTTGATGTCAAGTTGAAAGTTGCAAAAGAAACAACCCTTGTGGTTTGCGGCTATAAAGTTAAAAAGGTTTAACTAAGAACACTTTTTAGTTTTGCTTTTATTGAGTTTTTTTATCTGGTTGTAATATTAATATGCACAACTTCTCTAATTTACAGAATTATATATCCAATATGGTTTTTTTAAAAGATAAATATGCAAAAATTTAAAATAAAGTTTGTTGAGAATTTGATAATTAAGTTTATAAATTGCAATTCATAAGATTAGTTAATAAATTATGGATAATTTGTTATCCATTTTGTTATCCATTTTGCTATCTATTTTGTTATCCATTTTGTTATCCATTTTGTTATCCATTTTGTTATCCATTTTGTTATCCATTTTGTTATCCATTTTGTTATCTATTTTGTTATCTATTTTGTTATCCATTTTGTTGTGTCATTTTTAACTGTGGAATGTTTGAAAACATTTTTTTGCTTTCAGAAATATTTTCATTGTAAACATCTGGAATGTGGGAAATAAGCTAGAAATTTAAATTTGTCAATGAATTTGAATCTTAGTGGTGTTATAAAGGAGCCAACATCCAAAAAAGTTGAACTCGATTAACTTATAGATGTCATCATATGTTTATTCTAACAAAGTAAATGATTTGCATGTTCAGAAAGTGGCGCCTTTGAATTATCTCTATCAGTTTTTTTTTTAATTTTGTTTAAAGAGTTTTAAATTTTGGTTTTATTCATCTTTAGGATCATTACAACAAGCTTTTACTCAAAATAAATAAAAAACTTCCTGTCGAATCTGCTTTAGAGATGTCATAAAAAATATCAATAAAAATCAAAATTCTCATAGAGTAATTAGCTTTTTCCATTCAATAAATGCTCTAGTGCGTCCAAAAGGTACGTTTTTAGTGTAAAAAATTGTATTTGTCAAAAATTATTGTATATAAAATCAAATAGAATATTGTTGTCTACTTTGTTACTCCAAAATACAACCAAAATTTAAATTCTTATTCTATTAATATCGGTAGCCTATTTTGTACACACTAAAAAAAAGATTCTACCTTATATAAGAATACGTGATATACCCTCAGTAAGGTATAATTTATAAAGTATGACAAATCATGTCAGACAATTTTCTACCTTAAGGTATAGTTTTCTACGTTAAAAGGTAGAAAATTATACTAAGGGTATATCACATATCCTACTCTAAGGTAGTTCTACCTTTTTTCTTGAGTGGGTAGAAACATTTTTAGCAAATTTTTAGTTTAGAGTTGATTAACTGAAATAAGTTTTGAAAATTTTAGGTGTTTGAAATAACAAAAAATGTTATTTTGTTATTTTTCATATACAATTTTTATTTTATTTATTTCCATATGCAATTTTTATTTTATTTATTTCCATATACAATTTTTATTTTATTTGTTTCCATATACAATTTTTATTTTATTTATTTCCATATACAATTTATTTCTATATACAATTTTTATTTTATTTATTGATAAAATGATACTTAAAAGATAAAAGCTTCTTTAGAGATGTAGTAATGACGTTCAGAAGATGTTGCACACAGCAATTATCAATTTGGTTTGGCGTGTAGTATGACCAACTGTGGGTGCATGAACTTTATCGTAAAATCGTCATTCTCTTTATGAACTTTAGAAACCATACCAGGTCACTAAATTACTTCTTATTTTCAAAATAGGTATTGCAACATCATAGCATCGTTTATTTTAACAATTTTATATTTTTGTTTATTGAGGAATGTTAAAACAAAATCATCATCATCTGATATTCTTTTCATCTTTATAGTAGAAAAAAAAAAGTTGCAAATTGATGGAAATGTCTATCATTAAGTTTGATTCATACTAGATCCATCTCTTCAATAGTAACTTACAACATAATCCTACTGATTAACTTTTGACAGTATTCAAATATTGGTTGAGCAGACAGTATTTAAACTGTGATTGGATTCTAAAAACTTGCAGTGGAAACAAGCATTTTTACAGTGCCATCTATTCCACCGCTTGGAGATTTGCCATAGCTTGTTACAAAGAAATTGCAGATAAAAAAAATAAAGTAACGTTTAATTTAGTGACATAAATTGTAAAAGTGATTGCAGTTCTTTACTACCCTACACTGCCATCAGAAAAATAATGAATTTTTGTAATTGTGGCACAAAGATTACATTTTCTATGATTAATGGATTTATACATAACTTTATTATTAAATGCAGCATCATAATTAAACGATATTTCGTCTGTCTTTTTTTTCAGTGTCACTTTACAAAGTCACTTCCCAAAGTTCACTGGAAAAAAAGTCAGACGAATTATTGTCTACATCATGATTCAAATCATCTAAAATTACGCAAAAAGAAGATGCTTTCAATTTCACTTTTTTGTGATTGATAAAAAAATGGATGAAAAGAACACTGAATCTTTTTCCAATCGTAACTTTGTATCTCGACCTCATATTTTTTAATTTACTAAAAGATTTATAAAAATTTAAAAATATTTTTTGTAAAACAATTTATTAAAAATATACTTCTCATTTAAAGCGGTTCTAAGTTTTACAGGATTAAGTTTTCAATAAAAAATGAATAAAATACAATTTAGAGCTAGTCAAAAGTGAAACCAGAATACACTCACTATGGCTGTACCAAGCCCGTTTCGTATATATGGTGGGATAATATTCACCACATTGAATGGGAGTGTCTTAAGAATTTTAAGCTTAAGCAAAATGTGTCTTTGTCCGTCCTCCAGCAGATGTTTGGTAGAAATTTCAAAATAAAGTTTAAAATACATTTTGACACAAAACTCAATTAATATCTTCAAGATCTCCAGCTCATTGTATTTAAGGTTATGATTTCTTGTCCACAAAAACATCAAAGCCATATCTGTTGTAAGCCAGAGAGAATGAGACAGTGATCCACAATTGAGATTTGCGAGATCTGGAGAATGTTTTCCTAATTTGAGAGCATTTACATATCTATAACTGATATAAGCATCAGTAGATAAAGCTTTTTATGCCTTTCTCATCAAGTTTCAAAAGTTCTTCTTTATCTAGCAAGGGTGTAAAATTATAATTTATTGTCATATCATTTACATACTTAAGATTTTTGCAAACTGATCTTGTAAATCCATCCTTGCTATTTTTCGGACCTTCAAGTGATATAATTAAATGTCTTGATTCATTTGTATGTTTCATTCAAATTTCCCAATAGCATTTATGTCCTAACATTTCCTCAAGATGGGCATGAATTCACCCGGACCATCCTGTGTTGGTATTAGTTAAATCTCCACCTATTACTATGCATGATTCAGTAGCATTGTTTTTTAAAGCACCTCATAGAGTGCTTCAACTATCTTTTTTACAGGTTTTTCCGGATGAATGGCAAGCTCTGGCGTGATGTGAGCAAGATAAAGTCCAGTTGGCTCCCAAGTTACACTTATATGCTCCTCTTTTATGACTCTAGGGTGAAGTTTTCTATATTTATCTGGAACTAACGTTTTGGTTTAGTCTTTTTTTCATTCATAGCAATTTCAATTATATTTTCGTTACTACATTTATTAGCTTCAATAACTGTATTTTCTTTCATTACATTATTCTTAGACCTTCACATTTTGTTTATGTCAACAAAAAGGTATGACATATTAGGAGAAAGATAATCTGCAGCTATAAAATCTTTTATTTTACTAGTGACTATAATTACCATACCAACATTAGAAATATTATATCGTATTGCAGCTCATGTAGCATGTGTTATGGTTATGTTAGATTCACTTTGTTTTGCTTTAGACTTGGTTTTTCTAAGTATCTTGTAACCAGTGATTCCAATCTGAAGGCGGGGGGGGGGGGGCACAATTATCAATTTGTGAAAAAAGTCCTCTATATCGAGATTTTTATTAAAAATAAAAAAGGTCCTTTAGAAAAGAAGTGGAGGGGCTTTGATCTTCTAAGTTTTTCTTCAAGCGACCAAAGTTTTTGCTTCGTTCTTTAGTTGAGCAGTATTTATATTGTATGTATCATTATTGTTATTTTCTTCCAGCAGATCGAAAACTAGTTCAGGGTTCTGAATTGTTTAAAAATGCAGTTTCTATAATATATATTGTTACTTACCAATATTGATAAGTAATAAGATATATAATAGAACATATAAATTTTAAATTCAAAAAAGTTTAATCTATATATTAAACACTAAAAAGTTAGTTTTAAAGTCTATTTTAGATTGCGGTAAGAATTGTTTTAAAACAACTTAAGAAATCCATTCATTCAATATAATTTAGGTAACATGAAATTTATCAAACTCATTTTTTCTTTTCTTTTATTTTTTCTTTTTTTTTTTTCAACTTCTTCCTGACTGTTTTTTCTTTTTTTCTACTCTGTAGGCGAATTGATTCTTTATAATCACGTTTTTGCCAATTTGCATAATAGAAATCTCTTTCTTTTTTATCCTCTTATTACAAAACCAAAAAAGATCAAGTACAGGTATTTTTTAATAGAGGTCATGAACAATAAACATGTGCACCTATCTTTCCGAAATTGTAACTGATGGTTTAAACTGACTATTTGCTTTGAGCCATTGAGCTGCCACCAGTTTAGCAAGTTCTCTGCTTAATTCTTTTGTAACAAAATCATGTTTTTTACATTCAAACTCTATTTCTTTTCTTTCCTAAAAGGTAGATATAGGTTTAGTTATTTTTCACGAATAATTTATTCAAAGTGAATATATATTTTTAATATAATCACTTTTGAAAACAATTTTCAAGTTTTAAAATAAAACTAATTTGAATTACTGATCTTTTTGTAGGTACCTCCGACAAAACAAACTCTTTACAATTTCCAACAAAATTAGTCAATTTAGTTGCAAAATTATGTCAAGTTTTTACATTCGATGTATAATTACTCATTGTTAGTACTTTTATTAAAAATAAATAAATAAAACACATCAAAAATAAAACACATTAATTAAATAAAAAAATAAAACACATTATGAAAAAGTACTTTTGATTAGAATCTTTTTCATAATAAAAGTTTCTAGTATATAAACGAATAAATTTTGAAGTCTCGGGTATATAAACTGAATAAAATTATGCTGCTTTCGTTTCTTCGTTTTGAATATATCTTTCCTTAACAAAAGCAACATGTAGTTGCTTAGCAACATGTATTTAGACTAACTATATTAATTCAAATAATAACGATAAAACATCTACTACAAGGTCAAAAAATTAACCAAATAATTTATAACATATATATAAAAAGCATACTCACTGAGTATAAATAATATGAACGTGTTATAAAAACAAACTTTATGATATTTTGATAACTGGTATTAATTTTACAATGTAAGTATTACTCCCTTATATAATTATACAATGTGAGTAATACTCACCTTGAGAATTATACAGTTGCTACAACACATTCTCAAAAAACGGGTAATATTTTTACTATGAACTATAAAATGCACAACTTAAAGTCTCAGTTGTAATACCAAAACATTTTCAAATTAAAAAAAAACGCAAAAAAGAAACTCAAATTAAAATATCAGCACGCCGGATTATAGGAGTATCAGTACGCCGTATTATTTTAATCAAAATGATTTTAGTGATGTACCCTATAGTTATAATTACCCTATATATAAGTTTTTTGTGCTGCCATCAATGCTTTATTACTTACAACAACTACCATTCTACCAAAAAGATGAATATATAAACATTTGATTTAAGAAAAGTAATAGTTTAGAAAATCAAATATTTTCATTAAAAAAGTTAGTGAAGAAAATCAAATAGTTCAAACAATTTAAATCTAAATGAAAACATAAATTACTGGCAAATGGGTAAAGTTATAACGGTATACTTCGAAATTTTCCTAAGGAAAATTTTTCAATAATTTTTCCAAGGTTCAGTTTTTTTGCATTCTTGTTTTCAATTGGGAGTATTGCAAGCGACGTCAATTTTTTTTCCGTCATCAATACAGTAGGTTTTAATTAACTTCAACTTATTGAAACTACGTTCACTGCTGGACACTGCCACTGAAGTTGTCAGTTGTATGCGTAGTGCTATCCACAGATTAGTTGAATAACTTCAAACAGCAA